TTTCTAATTCAAAATAACATTTTATATTTTCAAATTAATTGATTTAAATTATTAAATAAAAGCCAATTTATAATATATAATATTATTTAAGAAATTAATTAATGTATAAATAAAAATTGAACTTGTTCTAAAATATAAATTAATACTTTTATTATAATTTATAAATTAGATTAAAATAAATAAATCTTTTATATTTTATAAAGATATAAAAAAATTAAAATTTTTACTTCTTATTTAATATTCTTTATATTGATTTGCTCTATTTTAAATAATTATCAAATCATTAATATAATATGAAAGGTTTTTGAAAGTTTATTGTTTTATATAATACCTTATAATATTCAACTAATAAATTTAATATTTTGATAGATAATATTAAATTTAAATTTTTTGAATATAATAATTTATTTGAAAATTTTCTAATCTATTGATAATTATCTTATAAATATTATATATATTGTTTAAAAAATGACTTGTGGGTCTATAGCACAGTGGTTAGTGCTTCACAGGTCAGATCACAAGATATTGGTTCAAATCCTCCAGGAGGTTAATGTGATTCTCCTGATAAAAAAAAAGTAGTTGATAGAACCTGTATCCATTGGTGTAACTGTAAACTAATTAATGTTTTTTAGTATAAATACTGATTATATGAAAAATTGTGATCAGGTTGAATGTCCGAAATCGGGTAGGATTATCCTTGACACAACTGTATTACCAAATGGTAATAAGAAAAGTAGATTCCAAACCGGTAGCATATTACTGGTAGAGAAGTTTACGTGATCCGAGAGGGCGAATCAAAACTGCTGATAGGCTTCAAGTTCAATCAAGTATATGGCTGTACCCAGGTTTCACAAACTTTACTATCGGAAGGCTTTGGTGGGAGAAGAAATTCGCAGACCACTCTGAAGAACCGAAAACCAGGGTTCAGAATACTGTAATTAACGGTCTGATAATCAGACTACTCTTAAATAAAAGTGTTTTGAGAAAAATTAAGAAGGATTCATACATCTTTCTGAGTTTAGTAGAGATTGAGGACCCCTTTTAAATAAAGTAGTGATTATACATAGCATTACGTAGGATAGATATATAGCTACTCATATATAGATAGATCTACTATAAATATATATGTATATCACTTGTTAATGTATATAACTTAAGGTGTATTGTAGTAGTACATAAGTAAAAAGATCAATTTACGTTGTTGCATAGACAGCTATAAGCATATAATTAATAAAAGATATGGCCTGATCAACTCATAATATTCTGGATGCACAATACAAAATAACAAAATTCCCTCATCAAAACCTCACAGTAAATATCCTTCATCTTTTGAAATCAAATGATATATATATTAAAGAAACAAAGGATTTCAAGTTAACAACTCCTATATCAGGAAACAATTGGATCCCCCTGGAAGACTTCATGCCAAATCCATGGTACAACAAAAACAAAGACAATCTGAGAAACACAACTTTATCTTCATTGAACAAGCGACCAATACTACAAACTTACATTGTATCACATGGATGCATTTCAAAACCCGATTGGGGGCAAAATATATAGGGCGGAAGCCCTGCTGGTATAAAGAAATCACTCACTGATTTTAAGTAAAAGAAGACTATTACCCAAAATCCACCATCAACACCTTTGCCACATATGACTTAGCCAACCAGAGCAGCATTCAGTATCACAGATACATATTTACGATTATCAATTACAATATCTATATAGGAAAAGTTAACAAATGAATTAGAATACTCAATAACACATTCAAGGCTCATCACTTCATACAAATTTCGGGAGACTCTTTGATCGAAAAATGCAATGGATGCAGAATGGATACACAAGAAAAACCAAACAGATGCATCAGAGAAGTTAATATTAAAGAAACAATTGCTATCCCAGTCAAGAAAACAAAAAATAGCTCAAAACTATACAATCCCATAATAGGTAATCTTCCCCGAGTTCAAGTATTACCAAACTCTATTAGACAAATCCACAATTGAAGCCACGTATCACCAGAAACAACAGACATTCCTCAAATTATTATTGATGATATAAAGATTGGAACTACAAACACAACAGACCTGAAAGAACTGAGATTGCATCATAAAATCAGAAAGAAATTCAAAGAAATCAAAAGAACAATTCAGGACTGAAGAATAGTTGACATTTATACAGATGGCTCATTGAACAAATATGCCAACAGGCAAGTCAAAATGGGGATAGGAGGGATCATCATTGACCAAGAAACACAAGCACAAGTCAAGTTCAAAGACAGATGTGTAGGCTTTCCATCATTAACAAGAGTAGAACTTGTAGCAATATTAATAGCATTGGCGATCACAAATACAAATACAAAGGTAACAATATACTGTTATGGGCAAAAATGGCATAGGCATGCAACGTGAAATCATGTTACGTCATTCTATTGTCGTGAATAATGGGGGAATTAAGGTGGGAAAATTGGGTGGGAAAAAAAGTGTAAGAGAGAAAAAAATCTAGAATAATGTAGAAGTGTAAACAAATGAAAAACATGTAAATAATAAGTGTATATATAAATACATATGCAATCCAATAGTGTAAAAGGTTGGTCAGCATCTTGTAATAAACTATTATTAGAAATAAACTCTTACCTGGTGTTCCATTTTGCCTGTTGTCTAAATGCCGATAACTTGCTCACGTGACTAAACGAACTAAGGTTTGACTAGGAGAATCGGGAGTGCCCTAGCAACTAGCAGAGTTCAACTAAAGGTCAAGAAGTGTTAAAGTTAATAGCAGAAGAGAACCAGCCAAATCGTTTACACCTCAAGAGTTTAATTGAAGACACTTACCTTCTATCAACATTACACTGAGACTATATCATTAGTGACAGACTTGCCGGTTAGCCTATAATAATACACAGACAGGCCAAAGCGCAATACATACAATACAATCTAAACTTCCTAGAAAACAACACTTAGCAAAAGCAACAAATCTTCTGACAACAACTTTTATTATAGATAAAATCCAATCCAGAAAAGTAACAACAGAGTTCAAAAAAATCAAGGCTCACATAGGAAACAATAACAATGAAAGAGCAGATACTTTAGCAAAGAAAGGAAAAGAGCTTGGATATAAATGAACAGTTGAAATCAAAAGCCAGCATATCAAAAGTCTATTCTGTATATTGCAATGGAATAAAGAGGACCTAGATATTGGTACCAATGGTTTCATGAAATATTGACAAAATAGCAAATGGATCAGTACATGGGCAACGCAAAGAAGATATAAAGCATGGTTAAGAACCGGCGATGAAAAGAAAATTGATTGAAAAAGAATATGGGCCAGTTTGTCACTATCAAAAATTACCAGCTTTGAAACCAATCAGCAAGATTACAACATTAAAGTGTTTAGGTACAAACTCCTTAACAAGGAATTGCCAACAAAAGACAAGTTGCACAAAAGAAAACCAGATCTCTATAAAAATGAAAAATGTCCTTGATGTGATCAACAAGAAAACACAGAGCACATATATAGGGAACATCATGCAGAACAAGTAAGATCAAAATTCCTGAAAGTCCTAAAAGAGGAAATCTCAAACAGAATGGAGATCAAGGAAAACAAATTCAATTGACAAAGTCAGCTAGAAGAAATAATAACTAATTCAGAAAGGAATCTCAGATATACAGTATAATTAAAGGGATCTTTAGCAAAGACTTGATTTCACTGATTGAACAAGCAAATGGGACAAAAACAAAAGACATGATTAAAAAAGTGACAGGTAGAATGACAGAAACACTACAAAAGATATGGATACAAAGATGTGAATGTTTTTAACAATGGGAAAAGAGTAAAAATATTAGCAAAATAGATAAAAGAAGTAAGAACAGAGGGCACTTGCATAACAATCGATCCACCACACAATCCAATCAACAAGGAGTGGTAGATAAACAAGTGGAAATATCAAACATGCAGTGGAAGCTGATAAGCAACTGGCTGAACCAAGGAGAAAACATTATTAATTTCAACTTTATTTATTCATACAATAACAATACTGACAGAGCCTTGGCACGTTAGCCTTGACATGTACCAATAGGACAAGTCAATAGTAACAAGCCGATATGGGAAAAATTCGATATAGCCTAATATGCATCTAGAATAGTTTATAGATAGTAACTCTTGTAAAAGAAATACATATATAAACTAAATAAAGCACGTTAGGCAAGGCCTAACTAGTTGAATTAAAAAAAAATATATATATATTATATCTAATATATTATTTATACCTGATATACCATTTATACTTGATATATCACTTATATCTAACACTAATCAAAATTTGATTATTCAGTATATTGAATTATTGCTAAATTATTAAATTTTATAATTAAATTTAAGCCAAATTTATGTTATTTGGTATTACTTGATATAAAATTAAATATAAATATTCATTAAATATTTGCAAATGATTTAATTTAAAATTATAGTATTCAACAATAAATAAGTAAATAAAATACAAATATTTAACATATAATTTAACTATAATTTAATATATATATATTGGCAATTAATTTCATTATTTAGTAAATAAAATAATTAATAAAATTCAATAATTATTTGTAATTATAATTAATAAAAAGTTTATTAAAATATAATAATATAATAATATAATTTGAATATAACAAAAAATCACTTATATAAATTAAGTTATTTATTATTTATTATTTCTTTTTTTCTTCTTCCACTTCTTTTTCTTTTTTTTTAATTAATTATATTTTAAATAACTTTTAAAATTTGTCACTTTGTTATTGAATATTACTAAAGCATTTGACCATCATCTTTTTCCTATACAAAACGCAAGGAAACTGAGAGGCAGCTCTCTCATCACAAGACCTAACTATAATGACAATGAGCTAAGCAAAGGTAACAAATTCAACAAGGTCAGAGAAACAGCCGCTCAACCATATTCCACCTTTGCATAAAAATCCAAAACACATGTCGAAAAACAGGAAACTAATATGATTCCAATTAGCACTGGCAATACACTGACAGAAACAACAGAAACTATTTCTCCACAAGAATCAAATGATAGAGTTTCCAGCAAAAACTGGGTGGAAATGACGGAAAACGAAAAGTTCGTGACATGGCTATACTCAGGAATGAAAGGGAAACATGATGATCAAACCTACCAAAGCACCAACCAGGTAAGTAATAGGGAATCCACAAGATCAGAGAAATTTGATACTGACATAAACAGCGACTCAGAACTGGATAGAGAAACGAATGGCACAGGCTGGTCCATGGTCAAGAAAAGGAAACAACTTGTCAGACAGAGTACCAAATCCAGAGCGTTATCCCCAATCAATTGGATGAAAAGATACGGAAGGAAAAGATTCAAACTGAAAATATCTGCAAACAAAGTTAAAAGTAATCACACAAGCAGCAAAATACAGACGGTCGCCAAAGTCCTCGGCAGCCCGATCGGTCTAATTTCTATCTGTGCTGAAAAAATTAAAAATATCGAACACATTGTAACAATCTTCAGAGATCAGCAAGCAGCTGATAACACAATAACCATAGTTTCGGACGAATTTCACAATGATAAACTCATGTACATGGAAATGCTAAGTCCTATCCAAAGAAGGGAAAATGTAATTAGGGTGTGGGACATACTACTCAATGTAAAAACTATAGACGTCCAACAAACATTCGTCAGATATGGCAACATCACGAGCATCACCATAAGCACACAACAAATGTGGCAATCAGCAACCATATATTATGAGAACAGGAATGATAAAAACAAACTTGTCGAACTCTGGTTCGTACCATTTAAAGCAGATATGGTAAGAGTTTTCGACACAACATGGGACATCAATCAAATAAAGTACAGACAATCCATCTTAATCAAGCTCTGCAACCTATCTCCCAGCATAACAGCATATGATCTTAGAGACGTAATCACAGAAATACACGCCAAGACATGCTACATCCCCAGGAAAATATTGTACCAAAGGAAAAGATATGCAGTCATAGCATACAAAAACCAGCAAGAACTCGAAAAAGCAACACAGAAGATATACAATCTAGAAGACACGGCACTAAGCTGGCAACCAATAGATACCAAACTATGCACCATCTGTGACATGTATAATTACTTAGCAGCTGAATGCCCAATCAAACACTGCAGAGAACAACTGAGAACATATAACGAAGAACAAACGAAACAGTTCAGAGTTCTATACTGCAGATACTGACTGGCCAGAACTACCCTGATCAGAAACATCATCAGAAATGAAAAGAAAGAAAGCAATGGAAAAAAGTAGTACATGGAAATAGCCCACAGAAATCACAGAGTTGAACCACCAGGAGAAAATCGAAACACAAACGAGATGTGCAACAAATTGCAAGTGACAGTTTTTACCACATTGCAACACATTCTCGAAGAAATCAAGGAAGTCAAAAAACAATTGAACGATCTAGATAAAAGAGTAAAATGGATCGAATCTATTTACAAAGAAAAGACTAGAGACAAAATGACAAACGATGATCAAACCATCATAACAACCCAGAGACATAGACAGACACCAAGATAACCGGAGCCAGTAGCGAGTGGAACCACAGAAAAGCCGATTAAAGACCTGAGAACCAAACAAGAACAGCTACATTCTGGAATGGAGAGAATCGAAAGAGTCCTAGCTGAAGTAATTCACATGGCATGGGACCAGAACAATGATGAAAATGATAATATCACTGGAACATACATGACAACCTTCCACTATCAATAATGGAAAACCACAGTAACACAATAAAAGCAGGCCTAGCGATGTCTCTAGATAACCTATCACACCCAGAATAAAGATGGGTCCCTAAAGTATTTAGCATATAAAATTTACGTCCCTTTATGTCCACGTCCCCTAGAGGACATAATTCCTAGCTCTTTACTTCAATAGGAACATAATTCCAGAAATGATTTGTATAGATGCTTAAAACTATAAAGAACCTTTGTAGGTAGTTTTTTTTTATTCCTTAATATAGAAATGAAAATTTTTAATAGTAAGGAACATTTGAATTATGTCCTTACAAATAATTTATGGACCCATCTTTAATCCAGAATCCATGCACGAACAATTTGTCGAAGAATCAAGAACACTAGAAACATTAACCAACATAACAATAAAAACAAACGCAAATAACAAAGAGCCAGCAAAGTCTCCGATGCAGTCTATGAATGTTAGACCCATCAAAGCACAACACACAAACGTCCCCTCAGCCACTACACTCAGAATCGCAACATCGAACGTAAGGGGATAAATGACGATTATAAAAGAAATCTATGGTTCGCTCAATGGCACATACATAAATGGGACATCATAATCACAACTAGGGTTCCGATCGATACTATTCGATATGATATTTTGTAAAACCGATACTGAAAATTTTTTTCGGTATCGATATGATAATTATTGAAAATTTTCGATACGATATTATAAAGTATCGATATTATACCGAAATACCAAAATACTGAAAATATTAATACTAATTAAAGTACAGAATAAAATTTTAATTAATATTATTTTATATATTATATGTTATTAATAATGGCATATAATCAATACTATTTAATATAATATTTTATAAAACTGATATCAAAAATTTTTTTATCAAGATTGATGGTTAAAAATACCAAAATGCTATCATAATTGTGATCACGATTATAATCAAAAATTTAATTATTTTATTAAGTTGTATCTAGAATAATATATATGCATATATACTGTATAAGTGAATATTTTGTAACATGATAAGCATTGTGAGTTCTTTCAGATACTATAGAGAAGGGTAAGAAATTCTATAGTAGAAATTACATGAATTATAGTAGTGAATATATTATTGTAAATTTTAAATCAAATATTAGTTTAAGACAAATAAGATAATATAATTCAAATATTCGAAGTATAGTTTATTTATTTTGTTTTTTTTTAGTTTGTTTTTTTTTCAAATTTATTTTTTATCTTTTTTTTTAATATTTGGATCATTTTTGAGGATTCGCATTTAATTTTTTTTTCAGGTTTTAAAATTTTTTATTAATTATATTTATTAAAAGAACATTTTTATAAAGTATTATACATAACTTTACATTTATTAATAATTATATATTAGTTTATTGTATAATTAATTTATATATTAAATATATGTATAGCTTTATTTATTATAGAAACATAAATAAAGAAAAAAAAATTAAATAAAGTTTTCTTGATAGGTACAATTAAATTACTCTTTACAATATAGCTCAGTTTGATTTTTAAACTATAGAAAATATGCATCATCTTTCTTTCCTTACTACACCTTGCTTAGAGCAACAATGACCATTTCCAAGTTTTCTTGATTGGTACAATTAAATTACTTTTTACAATATAGCTCAAATCAGTTTTTAAACCGTAAAAAGTATGCATTACCTTTTCTCCTTACTATATCTTGCTTAAAGTAACAATAACTACTTCCAAGAAAAAGAATATAATATAAAGTTTTTTGACACTAGGGAGAAAACAATCAGATCCTAGACCTGCCTCGAAAGGCGATAACTGCTCCTAATCTTTATTTTATATTTCCTTATATAAGAAAATGATTATTTATAAAAATTTTTTTAATATATATAAGCTAACTCTAATTAAAATGATAATGATAGGCACTTTATTCGAAATTTATTTTATATTTTCTTATATAAGAAAATGATCATTATAAATTTTTTTTTAATATATATAAGCTAACTTCAATTAAAATGATGATGATGGGCACTTTGTTCGAAATCAAGATCTACACTATGAAATCTTTTTTTTTTATAAATGAATGTGTAATGATACAAATCTTTATTGATACTTGCGTAATTAGAAATATATCAATACTATGAAATCCAATTTAAAAATATATTCAAAAATAATAGAGACATATGATTTCATTATAGTATAGGTCTTGTAAAATATTATTTAATACCCATTCATGATAAAAAAAAAAAAAGTCTTGTAAAATATATATATATATTAATAACATAAATTTGATTGATACCAATGTTTTAAACACATTACTGCACGAATTGTATCAGCAGTAAGACAAGTTTTATCTTGAGTAATTAAATCACTTGCACTTAAAAAAATTTTTTCGGCAGGTACACTTGTTGCTGGAATTGCTAAATAATCTTTTGCCATTTTACTTAAATTCGGATATTCATCTGAATGTCATTATAATAAAAATTATTAATATTTAATATATAAAAAAATACAATAAATAAAATAGTTTACCTTCCATCAATTTAATGGATCAGTAAGTGCCGAAACTTGTTCAGTTTTTAAAAATATTTCAATTTCACTTGTAATAAAATTTGATTGTTTAGAAATATGTGATATTAAATCTTCATCCTTGGAATTATAATTTATCACCATATTTTCAATTTCTTTAGGTACATATTTTTCATGATAAATTTTTAATACCTATAAAATAAATAATTTAAATAAATAAATTTCTAAATTATATATAAAAATATTATATATAC